TGAGCACAATTAAGTGTTCTGGAATTCCCATTCATTGTAATGTTTTCCACAATTTGTTATGATCCACACAGTCGAATGCCTTTGCATAGTCAATAAAACAGGTAAACATCTTTCTGGTATTCTCTGCTTTCAGCCAGGATCCATCTGACATCAGCAATGATGTCCCTGGTTCCATGTCCTCTTCTGAATCTGGTTTGAATTTCTGGCAATTCCCTGTTGATGTACTGCTGCAGCTGCTTTTGAATGATCTTCAGCAAAACTTTACTTACATGTGATATTAATGATATTGTTCGATAATTTCCACATTCGGTTGGATAACCTTTCTTGGGAATAGGCATAAATATGGCTCTCTTCTTGGCATAGATGAGTGAGCACTTCCAGTGCTGCATCCGTTTGTTGAAACATCTCAACTCGTATTCCATCAATTCCTGGAGCCTTGTTTTTCGCCAATGCCTTCAGTGCAGCTTGAACTTCTTCCTTCAGTACCATGGGTTCCTGATCATATGCTACCTCCTGAAATGGTTGAACGTCGACCAATTCTTTTTGGTCCAGTGACTGTGTATTCCTTCCATCTTCTTTTGATACTTCCTGCATCGTTTAATATTTTCCCTGTAGAATCCTTCAATATTGCAACTCGAGATTTGAAATTTTTTTCAGTGCTTTCAGCTTGAGAAATGCCGAGCATATTCTTCCCTGTTGGATTTCTATCTCCAGGTCTTTGCACATGTCATTGTAATACTTTACTTTGTCTTCTTGAGCCGCCCTTCGAAATCTTCTGTTCAGCTTTTACTTCATCATTTCTTCCTTTTACTGTAGCTACTCAACATTCAAGAGCAAGTTTCAGAGTCTCTTCTGACATCCGTTTGGGTCTTTTCTTTCTTTCCTGTCTTTTTAATGACCTCTTGCTTTCTTCATGTATGATGTCCTTAATGTCATTCCACAACTCACCTGGTCTTTAGTCATTAGTGTTCAACGTGTCAAATCTATTCTTGAGAAGGTCTCTAAATTTAGGTGGGATATACTCAGGGTTGTACTTTGGCTCTTGTGGACTCGTTCTAATTTTCTTCAGTTTCAACTTGAACTTGCATATGAGCAATAGATGATCCGTTCTTCAGTCAGCCCCTGGCCTTGTTCTGACTGATAGTATTGAGCTTTTCCATCGTCTCTTTCCACAGATGTAGTCGATTTGATTCCTGTGTATTCCATCTCATGAGGTCCGTGTGTATAGTCGCTGTTTATGGTGGTGAAAAAAGGTATTTGCAATGAAGAAGTCTTGCAAAATTCTGTCATGAGATCTCCACCATCATTTCTATTACCAAGGCCTTATTTTCCAACTACCGATCCTTCTTCTTTGTTTCCAACTTTTGCATTCCAATCACCAGTAATTATCAATGCATCCTGATTGCATATTCAGTCAATTTCAGACTGCAGAAGTTGGTAAAAATCCTCAATTTCTTCATCTTTGGCCTTAGTGGTTGGTGCGTAAATTTGAATAATAGTCGTATTAACTGGCCTTCCTTGTAGGTATATGGATATTATCCTATCACTGACAGCGTTGTACTTCAGGCTAGATCTTGAACTGTTCTTTTTGAGGATGAATGCAATTCCATTCCTCCTCAAGTTGTCATTCCCGGCATAGTAGACCATATGATTGTCTGATTCAAAATGGCCAATACCAGTCCATTTCAGCTCACTAATGCCTTGGATATCCGTGTTTATGCATTCCATTTCATTTTTGATGACTTCCAGTTTTCCTAGATTCATACTTTGTATAGTCCATGTTCTGATTATTAATGGATGTTTACAGCTGTTTCTTCTCATTTTGAGTCGTGCCACATCAGCAAATGAAGGTCCCGAAAGCTTGACTCCATCCACATCATTACAGTTGACTCTACTTCGAGCAGGCAGCTCTTCCCTAGTCATATTTTGAGTGCCTTCCAACCTGAGGGGCTCATCTTCCGGCACTATATCAGACA